AGATATACCATATACAGTCAGCATCTCGAGCGGGGCAACTATGCCATTCCGAGATATATCGTATACAATCAACAACTCTTGGCGAGGCGACTATGCCATTCCAAGATATACCATGTATAGTCAATATCTCCGGGCGGGGCAACTATGCCATTTTAAGATATACCATATATAGTCAATATCTCCGGGCGGGGCAACTATGCCATTCCAAGATATACCATATATAGTCAATATCTCTGGGCGAGGCAACTATGCCATTCCAAGCTATGCCACATGAAATCAACATCTCTGGGCGGGGCACCTATGCCATTCACTGCCATTAAAGATGCAGTGGCTGATTGGCTGCGGTTCAGCCTGACGAAAGAGGAGGGACAAGTGCAGGAGGTGGGTAGCCTCAGAGCTTGTAAAACAGTGGGCTCTATGCTCAAGGTGTGAGCTCAAATGAGGAAAAATAGACTCAACTACAGCAGCTTCGGCGTTTGACGAGCACCCCACCAACTGGACTATCCCTGCGAGGACCCGTTGAGCTCGTCCTTGGTCCGTCACTCGACCTCTGCATTCTCCATTACGAAATCTGGCTACGCTGACTTGGGTTCCTGAGGCTTGTATTGGAGCTACATCGATCTCGTTGTGAAACTCCGTCGATGACATCTCGATGACATCTCGATGTCTCCCTCGAGTGTGTAGCCGATGACTACGAGCGTGGTGATTCATGCCGGTCAGTGAATGATCTTAATGAAACTGCTCGTCGCCTTGAGATCTGTTTTTCGTATCATTCTTGCTTAGCCTTGGAAAGTTTTTAGTTCGCGCTAGTTGGGGCATTAGAGTCTATGTCGTAACGAGGAAATCTCGCACTCCCGACACGAGAGTTATGATTCGAAGAGTAGTCATATGCTTCGCATTGTGCCTACGGATCCGTTCCATCTCGTACTTGAGATCATTTTGTCCTAGCAAGTCCTACTTCGAATCATGCGCCGTCGAAGTTGCGTGAAACCGATGTCCCGAAGCCCATCCTGCGCTGAGCTATAGATTAGCTGCAAGCTGGCGCCCTGCTTGAAGTTAGCACTCCATCATCCCACTTTGTGGATTCAATCAACAACAACATCATGTCTATCAAGGTCGCTCTTCTCGGTGCTTGCGGTGGTATCGGACAGCCTCTCGCTCTTCTCTTGAAGCTCAACCAGAAGATCTCTGAGTTGGCTCTCTACGATATCAAGCAGGCCCGAACTCCTTGCGCTGGTGTTGCTGAGGATTTGAGTCACATCAACACTCCCGCTGAGGTTAAGGGTTACGCTGGTGAGGAGGAGATCGAGGCGTGCCTCACCGGCAGCGATATCGTCATCATCACTGCCGGTGTTCCTCGTAAGCCTGGCATGACCAGAGATGATCTCTTCTCGATCAACGCCGGTATCGCCGCTGGTCTTGCCAAGAACTGCGCCAAGTATGCCCCTAAGGCTACTCTTTGCATCGTCACCAACCCCGTGAACTCTATCGTTCCCGCTTGTGCTGAGGTCTACAAGCAGGCCGGTGTCTTCAACCCTAAGAAGCTCCTCGGTGTTTCCCTCTTGGATACCGTCAGGGCCGAGACCTTCGTTGCCAAGGAGTTGAAGGCTGATGTCAACAAGGTGACTATCCCCGTCATCGGTGGTCATGCTGGTGTGACCATCATGCCTTGGTTCTCTCACTCCACTCCCAAGGTTGACTTCGATGAGGCTACCCTCACTGCTCTGGACAACCA